GTACATGGGCACCTGGGCCGCGGGCCTGACACCTCGAATTCTGGAAGCGCGAAACGAGAACTCGACCGCCTATCCAATTTATCAACGGCAGGGCCAGTGTTTGACGTTTCCGCCTCGCTCGTTTTCTTTGGCAGCAAGTTTCTAACTTCAGGGCTGGCGCCGTGTACTAGCGGTTTAAGCCACCACTGCCTTCAAGCCTCTCTGTCCCACGGCCGATTTCTGCTGTGCACGAAGAGGAAAACAAGGCGGCGTGGTGCTCTTTTTCCGGGAGCCTGAGCCCCCAAAGAATTTCCTTGTGCTGCTGGGCAACTTCGTCGCAAAAGTTGGACTGGGGCAGGTAGTGGTAGTTTAAATTTTGAACTTTAAATACCTATAATAAAAACCACCATGATTCCTGAGTCTCTTTTTTTTCCGGTTCCCGAGTCTCTTTTTTCTCTGGACTTTGGAACTGTCAGGGATTGGGCCTGGTACTAACTACCTTCTTCCTCCGAATACAACGTACCGTCATGATAGCTGTATTTAGACTGAAAAATATCCCAAATACAGTTATAATGACCGTACGTTGTATTCGGGTGAAGACGGTAGGCTGGTCGTGGCAGCCGAATGCATCGCAGTGATCGCACCGATGCCACAATTTTTCGGAGGGCAACACTTATAATAGAGCAGAGTATGTACTATGTACTATGTACACTACATCCATGATTTTTTTTTTGGAGTTTTTCATCATAAGGAGAGACGAGAGCGAAAAGTCGCCGAAATTTGGAAGCCAATTTTTTTTGCCCCATCCATGGGACGGCCAACCTGCCAACCTGGTAGTCTGAGCCTGTCCGAGCACCACTTTAACCGGAGGGCGAGGGCAGCCGAGCTGGGCAGAACGATGATGTTGGTTTAAAACCTTAAACCAACAGTATATCTTGACCTTCCTAGGTGAACCGTACACACCGTTTTGCCTGTCTAGATACGGAACCAGTTTACAGAGAAAACGGTCGAGGCCTCAAAGAGTCCCAAAGATGGGGATTTTGTGGGGCCTCTTTTTTGTATTTTGCACCTGTTGAAGCCTCCTCGTCACACCTCTTCCTCACCTTTTTGCAACTTCCCTACCTTCTTCCCCCGAATACAACATACAGTTGCTATAGCTGTATTTGGGGTATCTTTCAGTCTAAATACAGCTATAATAATAATAGTTCAGTCTAAATACAGCTATATAATAATAGTATAATGTCTGTATTACATTGTATTCAGGGGAAGAAGGTAGTAACCAGGCTGGAAGAAAGGAGGAGGGCCTCAGAGGTACTGGGAATTTAAGGCTTTAAGGCTTTAAGGCTTGACCGTATTTGTCACTCCGAAACGGTGTTCAATGTTTCCTGCAAGTTGCGTCAGTAATTTAGATGCCTCTGTGACTGCCTCTTACCAGCCAGATGATTTCTTCTTTACTCTATCCTCCATTCTCTCTCCTCCTTTCTTCATTACTCCATGCTTCGGACTCCTTGTTCTCTCAGACTGTGGTTTTGCCTTGTGTTATGTCAGTCTTACTTAGGTATTTAAAATGGCTCCAGGCTCCATGCTCCCTTGTTTTATCTGGTGCTACCTCTCTCTCTCTCTCTCTCTCTCTCTCTCTCTCTCTCTCTCTCTCTCTCTCTCTCTCTCTCTCTCTCTCTCTCTCTCTC